GTTTGTCTCTGGGCTTCAGACGACGCTCAGGGATGCATTCTCGGCAAACCTGGCAAAAAAATATATAACGCATGTTGCAAGGTTGGATCTGACGGTTGAATGGGGGTGTGAGCCTGCCGAACTCACCTCGACGCAAGTCGCTATTTCGGTCCTCAAACGCGGCTGCGCAATTAGTTTTAGACTGTTGTAAACAGCTAGAATGTCAGTGAACGGGCTTGGCTTGACTTATCTGAGGCTGTCAGTGAAGAAACGCAAACAGGACGGATCTTGCACAGATTTGGGGCCAAGTCCCAAGACTACAAAGACATACAAAGACAGCATGTTCCAGGGTTCCGGCATTCCGCGTCTGTTTCGGTTTTTGGGCTCAGCAAGCAAACAGCGAACAACTCCCATACCCAGAAATTGAAACCAACAGTTCCTAATGTTGGGAAAAATCTGCAACAGCCATAGTCGGTACATACAGGTTTACAAATCTCTAGTGTCTAGACACACACTAAAATACACCAATGCCACTACCCTTCAATACCTGCGAATACCTGCGAATACCCCACGCCAAAGCTGTCGACACCTCGACCGCAACATGTGCCCATCTTCTAATTACGTGACTATCTTGAGCAGCAATTGACCCTTGACAGATTGCCTCCAAGAATGTTGCACAATCAGGATCTGTATGGAACTTTGATCTTTCAAATCGCTGCTGGAACAGACACACGGACAAAAAATGACAAAAATATACAAAGATGACGAAGATCTCTGAACAAACTAACAACGGCCCAAAGGCAGCTCCACTGCCATTTCATTCTCTACTCCTGGAGCTGACGTTTCAAGTCTTCGCATACCTCTGGGTCAAGTCTTGGCTACACATGGCTACACATCAAACAAGCTTTAAGAGTTCGTCTGTCATGAAAATAACGCCAGAATATTGCATAATATGCATCATACAATTGTACTATTTATATACTGAATGATGTTTGACGAATTACGTTCGGGGAGATGTGAAATCAGCAGACTTCTACAGTACCAAGTCAGCAATTGATCTGAACTTGGTGACGACTTGGTGGGTACAAACTTCCGACAGGCCTGTGCTGTAGTGCGATCAGAAGGCCCATCCTCAGGTAAAACCTTCAGGGTGAATCACTGAGACTTGTATCTGAGACTAATTTTGGAATCTGCCGAAGGGCTCAATCCAACACACCTCGAAGTCTATCACAATGCTGGACATCAACGCATCAGCACCAGTCAATGTACATTGGGACAACTCATGGGACAACTCAATGTGCATGCTCTCTGAACCTTGCACTGTTCAGTTCACTGGAAATTCCCAGCTGCGAAAACACAAAGTAGGTCCCATGAGCTTTGCGAGTTACAAGAAGCTTCCTTGCAAAACAAAGAAAATCATTTTAAAACAAATTCACATTTTAACAAAAGAGAGATTTTGGCTCCAAAATGTTGCGAATTAAGGTGCAGCTGAGCCAAAGTGTCCATTTGAGGCGCTGAGTCCAGACAATTGCAGGCACAGACGATAGACAAACAGTTGCCATCAAAAAAATCCAAGTCTTCGTTTGTCAAGGAATTCAAGGTGCTGAAAAAATGGATCGTTTGGAAATGTTTGGAACATGTTGAACCATTCGGAAGCCTTGGTAGCACAGACCCCCAGCCGCTGTTACTTAGGACCGAATGTCAACAATATTCGAGTTGAATGCATGGAAGCGCAATATGTGTGATTCAATGATCAATGATTCGACCCAGATTTGTTTCTGTGAGAACCGCCATGACCATTGCGTACACTGTGGAGAGGCAAACATCCATAATGGGAAGCAAAGCCATGGCCCATGAATTCAGGAAAAGCCTCATGACAGCAGCCCCCCAAGGGCTTGTTTCAGACGGTTCCTATGGAAATGGTCTCCCACATTGTTATCAAATTGCCTCAAATTTGAGGAGTATATACAGTCTGTATACAGTCCTTTAAATTCTGTAAGCAGAAAACGTACACTCCAACAATCCTCAAACTCCTTTTTGTTCTGCAGACCAACTCAAGGGCTGGTGCGCACAAATATGTGCTTGGTACCTTGTTACAGCGGGTGAGGCTTCAGGCTCTCGACCTGAGGAAAGCACTTGATTTGGGGACGCAAAGTTAAAGACTCCACAGAATCTAGCTAAAGCATCCTCATTCATCGAGGCATCCAGGGAATTCGGACTGACATGCCCCGTTGCCACGCTCGCTCAGTGCGTGCCTTGGCATCGTAATGTCCGTCTGCTGTGAACTGATGTGAAGGAGATCATGCGCAGAAAACCAATCCTTCCTGTGGGCCTGGGGACTCCAAAATACATCGTGTGGCCTCCATCAGCAGTCCTTTGTTTGGTTCCTTTAGGTCCAAATTGAAAGTTGGATCAGCATGAATAATCCAACAAAACATGTGAAGTGAAGCATGCCAAGCTGCCCCTGCATTGTTGCCACGGCCGGTGCCTCTGTGTGAGTCACAAATGACATTGCAGCAATCCCATCTGATGGATACTTCCGTAATATGAACGCTGCAGTGTGAGATATCAAACTGCGTGTATGTGGTGTGATTTGGACAGGTTGGCAGCCTTTCTGCGACAATTTGTGCATGATTGTTTGTCTTCTTTTTAATTAGAGCCACCTGGTGGATGCTCTGAGCAAGAGGCTGCTTCACCAGCACTTGGTGAGCCGTGGGAAACCTTGTCCAAAAGCGTAATGGCACTAGAAAATTACGCCCTACACCTTTCATACTTTCATAGAACTGTTTGCCTGGCACAAACTGCATGCGTACACACGTTAAAACTGACAGTTTTTGTCTCCAACAAAGGCTCGGGTGAGGCTCCCGACCGTGTTCTGAATCTGCCGGACCTCCCAGGTATATCACGCTGAAGTATAGGACGAGTGATTGTGCGTTTTGTGGGCAGGTGTATCTGCATCTGTGTATGTGTGCGAATGAATGTCTGGCTATTTGTGAAATTGCTTGAAACACATGCATGCTGCACCCAGAATATCCCAATATTGAACTCCGCCCGCGCTGAAGGTGCCGGAGCGTAGTAGTTGAGGAGTCGAGGGATCCGAATGAAGCAACTATTTCATGGCACAGATTCAGCTAAGCAGGGGGGGCACTTTCATATACACTGTTTTCATATCGGTACAACGTCGTCCAAATTCGACAGTACATCATGTTACCGACTGAAAGTTAGATTGAACGACCCAATTGGAACCTTGTTTGACTCGACTGAAACAATTATTGTTTCTCGGTATAACTGAAACTCATTTTCGTGACCTAATTATATTTACAGTGGTTGTCCCGACTTAACAAAAGGTTTAGAACATATTAAAAATTAGGGAAAATGAAGAAACAATCGAATGAAAGTGGAAAAATGGAAAAATGAAAAAAAAAAAAACTAACTAAAGATGGGCAAATCTAGCGATTTGCACAGAAATCTTATGATTTGCACGGATCTCGGACAGCACGCACACTGTTCAGCACCCTGTAGAGCACGAGGCTAAAAAGTTCGCAAACGAAGAGTTCACCTATGAGAAATAATAACCCCTCTATAGCTTGCCAGCTATCTAGGGAATAAATAGATAAACAAACAAATAGATGTGTATATATATAATATAGAAAAGGTATGAAAAGGTGGAAGGATGTGCAGGACTCACAGTTTCTCTTTCTTATGCGTGTGCTAGGTAGACAGGCGATGGTCTGGCTAGTACCGCTGTAAGTGCTAACATGGCTAACATGTGCATTGTTATGAAATGAAATAACAATGGGTGTGCAAGAGGTCGGGTATCACAGATATCCCTAACACTCTTGAAAGTTAAGTGTCAAAGTAAATACAGTACTTGGACACAAACCAAACCAAACCAAACAGATATAAATCTGTAGAGAGGGCAGGAAACCCAACACAGCCATTTTCCCCATCACCCCGCAGAGGGGAGGGAGGGATAACACAAAGTGGAATGAGGTCGGCTGGTTGACTTGAGCCAAAATTGGCACCAAGTCAACCAGCCATCCATCACATCTTTTCAAATCACATGCAGGCCTTACCCAACCAACCTACTCCCATGTTGGAATAATATATATATGTACGATATCTATGATATATGTATGATATCTATGATATGTTTATGATATCTATGATATATGTATGATGTCTATGATATGTTTATGGTATCTATGAAATGTGTATGATATCTATGATATGTTTATGATATCTATGGTATATGTATGATGTTTATGATATGTTTATGGTATCTATGAAATGTGCATGGTATCTATGATATGTTTATGATATCTATGGAATGTGTATGATATCTATGATATGTTTATGATATCTATGATATATGTATGATGTCAATGCTATGTTTATGGTATCTATGAAATGTGTATGATATCTATGATATGTTTAAGATATCTATGAAATATTTATGATATCTATGATATGTTTATGATATCTATGATATATATATATATGTATGTATATATGTATGATATCTATGGTATGTTTATCATATCTATGAAATGTGTATGATATCTATGATATGTGTATGATATCTATGATATGTGTATAATATCTATGATATTCTCAAAACACGGCGGCCCACTTCTAAGCTCTCACACTTGTTTCCTCACTCGCGTTGCTTGAGCCACCATCCAGTGGCGTGTCATCCTTGCGCAGTGGCCTATGCAGACCTGTGACATGCATCATTTGTCACACTGATAAGAACAGATACTACACATCCAACTGAGCATGGCATGACATGGGTGAGTGCAGTGGATATATCTTTACACCCCACCTTGCCAAAAGTCCTTGCATTTTGCAAGTTTTGGCACCTATTTGCACCTCACCTTACATTTGTAAATTCTACAGTTCCGCAGGTAGTTGTTAGCGGAAAAACTGCTTCACATGCATTTGATTCTCACTTCCACATGTACTGATTGCGTCACCACTTTGCTTTCACCACAGCTGCCGCATGCGCTGATTGCAACCTCTCAAATTGAAGATTCCATTGCCTCCATGTCGTCAATCTGACGTCTGACTTCTTCTGCGGCCTCGTGATCGCCTAACTCTTCATAGCGCGTAGCGCGCGACTGCAAGACACGAAATCCACGACGTAGGCTGGCTCTTGCTTCTGCCATAGCTTGCTCGATCTTGTCATTCTCCTCCTCTGTGGTATTCTGAGTAGTTCTGCTGTTCAGAGTAGTGTTTTCACTGCTTCTTCCAAGCGTATTGTTGTTGCTACTTCCAGGTTCTGGGTCTTGTCCATCTCTGCCTCCTTGTTCGTGTTCATCTGATCCAGCTGGTCTTTCGACCACCAATTCTCGTCCATGTGCATCTGCTATTGTCTGAGCTACCTGAATTGCTTCTGACCTTGGCAAATTCATTGTCATCCTGAGCTCAAACTCCCGGGCTGGTGATTCCCGAACATCGTCATCTCCACTTCTGTTCGCTATTGAGCTCCTCGAAGATGTTGCGTCTTCGGCTCCTCCGCGATCACTTTCTCCCGGAGGTGTATCCCATCGATGTTTCAAAAGCTCCACAATTGGAACAAGGAAAGCTCCATCACTCGCATCAGCTTTTCGCTGCAAATCATCACGAAACTCTTCCCATAACCAAGCCTCCTCGGCGTGAAGGAGGTTAACGTGAGGAAGATCCATGCACATCCGCATATTTCTCACCTGAGCCATGATCTCCTCGGGGTCGTTCACCTCAACGGCCGTAATGAAATATTCCACAGCCTCTTTCTCATCGTTCTTCAAAAGTAAAGCTGCTAGCCGTAGGTGGTTAAACATGTTCTCAATTGAAAACTGATCATGCTGTCCATCAATCCAGTATGCTTTGGCTGACAAGACGAATGTCGTAGCCACAAAGTTTCTCATCTCATCGGTCCATTGTTGAACATTCGCATACTCTGGTTGTGGATCAGAACGGCTTCGTGATCTTGAAGCTTCACCAGGAACCATCATGACCAACATGCCCATCATGAGCATAAACACTCCGCCAAGCGCTATGCCGCTGCGAATCTCTGCCATAGAGGTCGCTGTAGGAGAAGTACTTGATTGGCCTGACAGGAAGGAAGATGGAGAAGAGCATCCCTGCAAAAGTGATGCTGCTGCTGCTTGAAATGCTGTCATCAATATCATTTGAACTCTTCTTGTCTGCAAAACTTCTGTTCGTCTTGACGTTTCATCTTCACCAGTGAAAATACCAATGAGTCGCCCGAGATCTTTTCTACGTTCTAATCCTAGCTTTTTCGTTCCCAAATCTGCCGGATTCATCTTTGTGCTGATCTTGTGCAAACTGAAAACTTTCATCCGCAAGAGATGTTGAAGAAATAGATGACGGATTTGAAGGTGTTTCGTTCGACCAAATCCTGCTCTTTGAATTGTACCCATCGCTGCTGATTAGTCAATATGCAGTTTCACTTTCACTTCACCACTGTTTTCATCCTTTTGATCACCGCAAAGAAATTTGCACACTCGAACTAGAAACAAACCTTCTGCTATTACTGCATTTGCTGCATACAGTTCTGCCTCACATGAGCTGAGTGCTACTGTTGCTTGTGTTCTGCTGAAACTTGAGATATATGAACCATTCACAAACATGACACATGAACTTGTTGATCTTCTGGTAGAAAGATCATCTCCCCATGACGAATCTGAGAAGATGTCAAAGTTGAAAACCGCTCTGTCTTTTCTCTGTTCTCTTGTCACGTCGCTCCATTCATCTGCTTCAATCCATCGGTCAAACACATCCTCATAGGTTTCACATTTTCTCAACATCACACCAGCATGCTCTGTTCCTGACAAGTACAGGGCCAAATGCTTGAGAGCTGCCATCGCTTTCATGCAAGGGTAGGACATCCATGTAGCCAGCGTCTTTGTCGCAAACGAAATATCTGGCCTGTCATGAGAAACATAGAGAATCAAACCTAATGCTGAACGAAACAACGAAGCTTCTTCACCTGTGAGCACATCTTGCACTGGAAACTCTGAATTGTATGTTTCGAGAACCGCATGATGTGGAAGACCCTTCTTTCTTCTGCCAGAAATATTCAACATGTTGATGAGCTTGGGAATATAGGTACCATTGGGCTGCACCAAAATTCCTTCAGGCAAAAGTGTAATACGCTTCTTGAGGTAAAACATTATGTCGCCTGAACCTTGTGCATGAGGACCATCAACTTTGATCGTGAGACCGGAAGCAACTTCCTTCTTGAACCATTCTAAATCCTTTTCATTTCCAACCAACAGCACATCATCCACATGTACTGATAAATAAACTCGGCTCTCACCGTCCACCAACTTCATGATTGTGGGACATCCCTTGTAAGATTCCATTCCAACACTTTGACACAAATTGGAGAAATATTCAAACCATCGCAAAGCTGCATTTCGTTGTCCTGGTAAACAGCGCTTCAATCTCCAAACCGTAGACTTGTCTTCTGGAGATAGATCTCTGATCCATTGAGGGATTACCACAAACATCTCTTCTTGCTGTTCATCACACAAGAAAGCATCTTTCACGTCAATTCCAGTGAGCATCAAGTTGAAAACCATGCTGAGGACTAGGAGAATACGAACTGCAACAAAGGTTGTGGTTGGTGCAAAGCTGTTCTCGTCTGTGTTGTCGGACTTGAACTCTCTTGCTACTATCCTGCATCTTCTGCGCCACTTGTTCTCTCTGTAGCGCCAATCACTTGCAATAGTGGTGTCGACGAGCTTGTGGCTCGGGATTGTTCTCACATCAGTCTCTTCTGGTGCAATCACGTGCATTCATACAACTTGGCAACCTCCCCAAAGCTGCTTGTGCATCCAACTCCGCAAGCTTTTCAGGAGAAACTGTAGGTGGGCCGTCTTCTTCAAGACGTTTGTTGATACCTTCGTCCTCTGAGTCTACGTCCTCATAAGGAAGAGATTCCCAGTCATCTTCCAAACCAATCACATCATTGTGTGTGATCTCCACTTCGCCAACACGTCTAACGTCCATCTTTGCCGCTTTGACTTTTGGCTCCGGAACTGGGTCGCTATCAAACTGCAAAGCTTTTGCTACTGTGCCACGTTGAGTCTCTGCCTTGTGTTTGGATGCTGCATGACCTGATGAGTCTACATCCATTGTAGGGCTTGAAGGACTAGCCCCACCTGCGCCAGACATCAACATCTCTTCTGGCGTCTGTGGTGCTTCCATTCCGGGATCAACCGGTACTGCACATAGAGGAGGAAGAGAAGGAACAGGAACTCGACCATCATCCTGTTCTGTGACATCTTCAAGTCGAGGACCTTCTCCATCGGGTGTTGTGGGCTCATATGCATTGGGTTGAACTTCTTGTTGAGCTTGTTCACGTTCGTCATCTGAATCTTGAAGTCCTTTGACTGCTTCTGCTTCTTCGTCAAAGAATGGTCTCGGTGGTAAAGCCAGAACTGGTTTCTGCTTCACCTTTGACTGCGTGTAGCCCGTGGTGTCCCACGGTCCAATCACCAAACTCAAAATCTCATCCGCAGACCATGTAAGCGCTGTTCTTCGGATTGACCTTGTCCTTGTAATTGTGCCAGCTGCTGTAGCCAGAACATCATGATCAGAAATCAGAACCATCTTTTCCTAACCACATCCCGTTCTTCCAGGTAGGTCGATACTTGGATCCTTTCGGATCAAGTCCATAGGTCACCTGTCCAAAACAAGCGATTCTGTTGTGATAGGGTCGTCCATTCACAGCTTGGTATGGTGTGATCTTTGTGGTACTGTGAGTGAGATACCTGTTGTAGAGCCAAGTGGAGTGCATTGCCGCCCAGTAAAGAACTGCGTGTCCTCGTGGAATCTTGCACTTGATTGATTCTTCCTCCAGTTGCACTACCAGTGTCTTCTGCAAATTGCGGACAGTCTGAATTGTTCGTTCACAAATGCTAGTGCGACCCTTGCTGTAGTTGCGATTGGTCGTGACCGTCGTGCTAAAGCCCTGACGAGCTCTGACCTGCTTGAAAAATTCCATGCCACTGACCAAAACATTCTCATTGTCTCCACAAACTTCAACCGCACCAACATAACCCAGACTTCCAACAAATTTTGAAATTGCACTTCCAACCGTCTTGGCGTTCTTGGGTTTGATAGGTTCTGCATGTGCATATCTTGTCCTTGAATCCACCATAAGCAAAATCGGCTTGACTCCAAGAGAACCCTCTGACTTGCCACGATTTTCACAAAAGTAAAAATCAACTTGGATTGTGGGTCGATCTCGCGCTGCTGCGAGATCAGGGTCAGCATGACTTGCATGATAGTCACCTCGAGCACGAGTTGAGACACAAAACGGACACCAATCCCTATAGGGTAGGCGAGTCAATTCATGGAGAGAACGTTCGCGCTGAGTTGGTTGACGAACTGCTAGGTGTGCTGGTTGTGCAGGATGTTCTTCTCGTTGATATTCTGCTCTTGCCATGTCAATTGCTGCACGTCTCATACCTTGAACATAGCTCTTCTTGATACGCTCAAACATCTTGCCTTTTGATCCAGCTTGTGAAATTCCCAGCAAACGACAACTTGCGCGCAAGTCTTTGACTGAAGACTCACATGTCAAAATCAAACCATCGTCCAGTTCCACAGGTTCAATTTCAGGAAAGGCTACATCTGCTAAAGCTGCTGCAGGTTCTTCTCCACCAAGAGGATCTGGTTGAGAAAGACCTGGAGGTACACGTACCTGAATTTCCTCGCTTGAAACTGCACCCTGAGAAACATCTTGACGTTGTTCAACTGGAACTGCTGGTTGTTGTTCCTGAGGTTGTGAGTCAGGAAGTCGAACTGGTCCATGCACCTCTTCATCTTCATCTAGTAAATCTCCAAACTCCTCAAATCAATGTTCTTCAACTCCAAGAATTGTGAGAATCTCGCACTCGCCGTCCATGTTGAATATGCACTCATCAATCAATCCAAATGGTTGTTCATCCTTGTCCATGAAACGTTGGGTCATCTCCACCAATGTCCAACTGTCGGTGGTATTTGTCCTCCTGACTAGAGTTGTTCTGAAAGGCCAATAGTGCCCCCAAGTTGGTCGGGGATCCAAATAGCTGTTCCCCACATTCTTGATGTAGGGCGTTCCAGACTCTGTCATCTGCCACGTGTTGAAATCACAAAGTTCCATTTCCTCAAACACTTGAACTATAGTACACACATGAAAGGAAGAAACATCTGAGTCACCATCATTTTCTCGTTCTTCAACATGACGCACACATGCTCTGATTGCAAACGATTTGTTCTTGAAATACACAGGCACTTTGATTTGATCTTGTGGATCTATCAGGAAAAGTTCATTGCTGCCTTCACCATCAATTTTCCAGCCTGCTTGGTACAACTGCCCAAGCGAAACCAAACCTGTAGTCACATCGCCAACAATAAACTCATGAGGCAAAAGAACTTCTTCACCTTCAACGTCACGCACTTGAAGGTCTAGTGCCACGTGTCTTGAGCTTTCCACCTTGACAGTTTCGCAAACTGGTACCTGCAGTTGTGTTACCATCCACTGAAAACCTTGCAGGAAGCAAACTCACATCTGAACCGCTGTCCAAAATAATCCATTCTTCACCGGTCACCTTTCTCACATGCATATCTTCATCTGAGCTATCCAGAAATTCAACCATTCTCACATGCCTACTTGAAGCTGGCGATGTAGGAGAAGAAGGGTGTGATGAGGGAGGAGTGATGTGAAAAATCCTGCGCACTGTTGCTGTTTTCGGCTGCACTGGGGACTGTTCACCTTGAGCTTGCCGATACACTGAAGACGACGAAGCTCCATTGTTGTTGACTGGAGAGCCAGTGTAGCTAGTATCTTGCTGCACGTTGTTCACATCCATACGTTGTGGGCACTCTCCACTCCAGTGACCATAGCCAAAACAGATTAAGCATTGATTGTAACCTGCTCCTTTACCTTTCTGACCATCTTTGCTCTTTCCTTTCTTGCCCTTTGACTTTCCTCCTTTGTTGTTGCCTCTTCCACGTCCTTTCTTGCCTTTGCCTTTTGCTTTTCCTCCACTTCTACCGCCAAAACCACGACCTGCACCCCAAGGTATGTTCCAGCCACCTTTTCCTTTGCCTTTCTTCCCCTTGCCCTTGGACTTGCCTTCAACTCTATCTACTTCCATTGGTGTGGGTCCATCGGCCACGCCCTTGTTGGCATCATGGAAAGACTTCAACACTGTTTCATGGCTCCAACTCTTCGACACACGCTCGAAGTTGAGGATCTGCTCTCTGACCTGGTTGTAAGCCGCCTTGTCGTCCAAGGTGAGCTGAAGATGCTCTTTGAGTCTTGCAGGGGAACATCGAAGTAGAGTGGCTATTTTGAGTTCATTGGGGTACTTGGTATTGGAGGATTCTTCAAACCTTTGAATTGTCTCCTCAAAGATCAAGATGGAATCCATACAGGATCGGTCTTTGGGAAATGTTGGATATGACGCCAAAGCCTGAGCTAGCGCCAAACTCCTCTGCCTTGAGCTAGGCTCAAATTCTCTCATCAAACTATACCAAACAGCTAAACCATCTCGGGTCTTTGAATGCGCCTTGGCCAAATGAGCGCATCGGCCACGCAAATAACTTGTCAAAACAGCGTACAACTTGTGAGCCATCTCTTTCTCACCTTCATTGTAGTTTGCCATAGTTGGCATTGAATCCCTGGCCTCTATAGCTTCCAGAATTTGAATAAACCTTGAATCACCATACGTCAACCATGACATAAACTGGAAACGCCATGATGCAAAGCCCATTGCATCTTCTCCACTGTACGTGTCGGGATTCTTGAGCACCTTTGATGCTGCCTGAAGTCCATCTGAAACTACACTTGAACTTGCTTTTGCTACAGTTGCTGCTGTTTGCACTGTTTGGGTTGTTACTCTCTCAGCTGCTACAGCTGCTCGTGTGGCAGCTTCAGCTAATGCCACGACTCTTTCCAGCATTGCTTGTTGTTGCTCGATTGCATGAACATGTCCAATACTGCAAAGAAAAATCACAACCATCAACTTTCGTCTTTCATTGCAACGCTTTCTGCCAGCACATCTTTCCCCTAAACGTGTCACTCGTGAAGTCTGACATGTTTTCATCCATTGACTGCTCATCCAATTTCTGTTCATCAATGCAGGAAACCATGTGATGCAAACCAAGATGACTGCCATCAAACCAAACTGCAACTCCTTGCCTCGTAGTTCTTGTGCCAGCGCCATTGGCATAGATGCCATCCAGCTCATAGCCATGCTTGCCACTGTTCTGCTTGTAGACTGTAGACCTTGTTCATGAGAGACTGCAAAGCCATACCACTGCAAGCTGCATCAAGCCAGAATGCCGAATCACCATGACCTTGTCCACCATGTAGAGGAAGAAACGTAGAATGAAGATAGTGACCTTGAGGACATACTTCACCAAGCACTGCCAACCATTGAAGGCATTGTCCACGAAGTTGTTCATGTAGTGATGTTCGAAGATCTTGAGGTCGATGTAGTCCAAGCAATGTGCAAAGCCAAGCTTGTAGTCAATGTTCTCCAAGAACCATGCTCCATCGAAGACCTTGAACTCGTTGATCACCAAGTGCTGCTTCCCATAGTCCATCATGTCATGCTCATTCACCTCCAAGAAGTGGTTCAAGTTGCCGTGCTTGTCATTGGGCTCTATCTCATTCACCAAGTTCCAGGCTTCTCCATTGTCAAGAAGACTGTCCCATTTGCCAGTCTGCTTCACCATCTCGTTCAAACTTCTGCACGTGCATGCCCATGCCATATCTATTCTACTTCCTGGTTTTGTCCATGGGCTTGTTGTACTTTTCCATGTAGCTACATCCATCCATAGATCTGTTGTACTTGTCCCTGTCTGCGCGCTTTCTATCTGCTGAACTCCTTGTTGACCTTCTCCTTGATGTCCGTCATAGGCTTCGAATTTCCTGCAGCTTTTCCTGTGGTGTTCTTCAGCCTTGGGTTCCTCAGGCATGTTCACAAAGGACTCAGCCATGCCAAGCGCCCCAAGTTCACCATCGCCACCACCATCAGCTGCCATCAGCACAAACGCCATGAATGTCCACATGACCTGGAAACCTGGAGCCCTCACCAAAGGTCCTTGTCCCTTTGGATTACTGGGCTCCGCTACCATCTCAAAACACGGCGGCCCACTTCTAAGCTCTCACACTTGTTTCCTCACTCGCGTTGCTTGAGCCACCATCCAGTGGCGTGTCATCCTTGTGCAGTGGCCTATGCAGACATGTGACATGCATCAACTGTCACACTGATAAGAACAGATACTACACATCCAACTGAGCATGACATGACATGGGTGAGTGCAGTGGATATATCTTTACAGATATGTGTGTGTGTGTCAAATTTGCAGTCAGCGAACTGCAGCGGGTTAGGGAAGCTGGCAGCAAACAGGCTATGCAAGAGGAAGGCCGCAAAAAAATACAACAAGTACTCTAGGCCCTAGTGTATATACTGAAAAAAAGATTATGTTGGTTAAACGTAACCACTGGGACGGATAGAGACAAAAATGGAGACAAAAAAAAACAGGTAGATACAACTCATACGACTAATACATTGCATACAGATACCGATGGAGATGGAAATGTCCGAAATCCGAAATGCCTGATCCATCCAGAAGGATTGCTGCTCCCGCAGAAACGTGGCCACCTCCCAGGCAAAGCAAGGCTAAGAGCCAGGTTCCACTCTTAGAGAAAATAACAAACCGAACATCGCTGAAAATCTGAAAATGTCTTTCAACATCATTTAACCATCTCAGCTGGAAAGAGTCTGCTTACAGAAATGGATAGAAATGGCAGAGAATTGCAGGTAACAGGAACAGGAAGCAGAGGGAAGTCCGCTGAGTTGTTTTGCTCCAAAAACGGAAAAGGAATTTCAAGAACGTCTGCTCTGCGGGGCCTCCTCAGCACGGCCTAATGCATCCAGAATTTCCTGGCGACTCGACACAGTCAGGCGCAAGTTTTTCGCTGCTGAGAAAGTCTGTCCATCTCTAATGAGAATTGAAACGTAGCTGGTGATCACAGAGATTTGGATGGTCGGCAGCATCATAAATATTGGATGACTGTTCATGATTGGTCGGCAGCATCATAAATACGATCAGCAGGCATGATGAAATCATATCAGAGGCCGACTGTTGCGCACAGATTTCCTCAATTCATTAGCTCGACAGCTACACATGCTTTGATGCGACTGGCGCCCCAAAAAAAAATGTGTAGTATCTCAAGTCCAATTATATGTGTACTGTCTGTATTCGTTTACACGTTTTTGTTTGGCGCAGTGTCTGGTGGCCTCCCCTTCCCCCCAAGATGGTGATGGTCTCTATATGTACTGTAAATGGATTATACATATATAATCATATTTACATGTACATACACATATAAGTATGTGTATTTGCAAGTATTTGTAAGTTCTGTTATATATGTAAATATATATATATATAGTAAAGGACATCCAGTAGGCAGAGACTTTCCTGCTTACTGCATATGGAAATTGG